TCGGTGCGAGTTTGGAAGATACATCAACAACCATATCCGATCACATGAAATATGACTTTCTCATCCTAACTCTTCTTATTTTTCTAAGTCAACACACCACATGTCTCTAAGTATTGTACATGATACGCAAGGTCACTAAAGTCATGAACTCCTAATAGTTCTCAAATCTCAATCACAACAAGGAATAATAAATACAACTAATTCTATGCAACAATATCATGATATATCACATAATCAAATTTAAGAATCATGAATCATATTAAGAGCATAGGAATTAACTTAATTTCCATAAACCACCACTTTAATATATTTATGCACGCAGACTCATTTCATGAATATCTCACTATTCGGATTTCTAAACTTATTGTAAAAAATATCAGTAATTAGGTAACATCTAGCATAACAACAGTGCAAGAGGAATCTGGAATCAGCGGATGTTTTTCACATGAAATGTCGCGTTCTACAACCATCAATTACACGATCATAAATTTATTAAAAATAATTCTTTTAAATTATTTCTCATTATAATTATTCTAACAAGTCTTTTAATTTTTTTATTTTTTTCTGCGTGAACGTAACTTTTTCTATTTTATTTATTATTTATTTATTTTATATATTTTTTGAACCGTACCTATTTTCAAGAAAGATAAATTATAGATAATTGCAAGAAGTGAGATCTTGCCTCGGGGACGTTGAGGGTGTCGTAGAGGGCAGCGGGGGTCGTCGGGGTGGATGCACGTGTTACAACGGGTTCTGCGGGCTCGTCGGAAAGTCAATCGGTTAGAATACAAAAGAGAGGTGTTAGTGACGATGAGCGATATTCAAAGTGATATAACGAGAGGTAGACAATGAGCCCAAGCGAGAGGGCGTGTTGAGCTATATTCAAAGTGATATAACGAGAGGTAGACAATAAGCCTAAGCGAGAAGGCGATACCGTGTGATAGACAATATAAAGGGTTACACACCGGCGAAGACGATGACGGAAACGGAGATCGGAGGGGGTCGGAAAGCGTGTGTGAAGTCAGTACAATCTGCAGTTTTCTGCAGTGCAATTGCTCGTCGTTCGGGTTTGTTCTTCGCTGTTCGGAGCCTTTCGCCACTGTCTGGGCTTGCCAGAGGTGGGAGGAGGTTGTCGGGGTCGTCGGGTATCTCGGTGGGCTCCGACGGGGTTGTGCGGGGATCCGGTGGGGTTGCTCGGTCAAGGAGGGGAGAGAGGAAGTGGAGGTGATGGTGGTGGCGTCGGGTGTAAGAGGAGAGGCGGAGTTGGTGGCTGAGCGGGGCTCGAGGGACACTGTAGGGGAGAAGGAGCGGAAGACGGTGAGGGAGGAGAGAGGAGAAGGGCGACGTGACACGGAGGAGTCGTGTGGAGGAGATAGGGAGACGCTGGAGGTGGAGAGAAGCTCGGAGGAGGCGCGGCGGAGGAGCTGATGGCGGCTGTGGTGTTGGTCGGAGGACAGAGAGGAGGATGAGGAGACGGTAGTTGGTGGAGTTGGCCGGCGATGGTCGGAGCCTAGATGGTGGTGAGGTAAGGGAGGAGCTGGTGGTGGCTGAGGGTTGAAGTGGAGATGAAGAGAGAGGATGGAGGCTGAAGTGAGGTGAGATGTTGTTTGCTGGTTGGGCGAGCTTGGGAGGCTGAAGGCACAGGGGAAGAAGAGAGTTGATGAGTGATTAAAGGAGAGAGGGAGAGAGGCAGGGGTTGGTGGGAGAGCACGCGTTGTAATTGTGGGCGGCTTGAGGCTGTGTGCGTATGTCAAAAGAAATGGGCGAAGGCTTGGGCGGATCTGAGAACGAGGGGGAGAGAAAAATAGAAGAGAGAGTGTGAGCGTGAGAGAGAAAGAGTGGCTTAGACTTAGAGATAAAGAGAGAGAGATGATTGGAGAGAGGGAGAGAGAGTGAGGGAGACAGGAGAGAGAGAGGCAAGAGGGGTTGGTGGAAGCTCGTGGGCGGCTTGGGGTTGGTTTTGGCTGTGTGTGGAAGTGGGATTAGTGAGTGTATACGCGGTGTGGGGAGTGAGGTGGAGAGGGTTAGGAGATAGGTATTTGTCTCCTTTTTTTCATTTATTTTTTTAACGAAAATAAATAACAAAAATTATTAAAATGATTAACAAAAATCAATAAAAATAATTAAATTTATAATTAGCCAAATAAATATAAAATTGGATTTTTAAATCAATTGAAAATTCTAGAAAATTGGTTTAAAATATAAATACTCTTTTAAAAATAAAATTTAATATTTAAATATTAGAAGAAAAATTATTTAAATTAGTATCAAAAAATTATGGTCATTACAACAAGCTACATGATGGTGAGTACATATATTTATTATTATCTGTTGATGATATGCTTATTGGTTTCAGGAATTCTTCGGTTATTTGAAAATTAAAAGAGGAGCTGTCATCCGAGTTTGAGATGAAGGATCTTGGAGAAGCTAAGAAGATATTGGGTATGGAGATCGAGAGAGACAGGGTGAATGGGAGATTGAAGCTTACATAGAAGAGCTACTTGCAGAAGATGTTGAAGAAATTCAGCTTTGATGAAAATACGAAAGCTATTAGCACTCCATTGGCTCCCCACTTCAAGCTTTCAGCTAATATGTCACATGTTTCAGTTGAGGATGGAGATTACATGCCGAAAGTTTCATATGCCAGTGCGGTGGGTAGCTTGATGTATGTGATGGTGTGTATGAGGTCGGATTTGTCACAGGTCGTGAGCATGGTATCGAGGTACATGCACGATCCCGGGAAGGATTATTATGAGGCTGTGAAGTGGATTCTACGGTATGTTAAAAGCACCGTGGATGTTGGTTTGATTTTTCAGAAGAATGAGAAGAATGAGCAGGATTGTATTGGCTATGTGAATTCAGATTATGCGGGGGATCTTGACAAGCGTCAATCTACTTCAGGATATGTGTTTACATTAGCATGAGCATCGGTATGTTAGAGATGTACACTTCAGTCTACATTGGCTCTCTCTACTACAGAGACGGAGTATATGACGGTGACTGAAGCTGTAAAGAAGGCTTTGTCATTGCATGGATTGTTGGAGGACTTGGGGATTGCACAGGAGACCCTTCGAGTATATTGTGATAACATATCGGCTATCTATTTGACGAAGAACCAGGTTTATCATGCACGCACGAAGCATGTTGATGTTAGATTTTATTTTGTTCGTGATGTTTTGGATGATGAAAACGTCATATTGGAGAAGATCCACATGAAGGACAACCCTGCGGATATGTTGACCAAAGTTGTTTCAGGTGTGAAATTTAGTCATTGTTTGAAGCTATTGAATATTTTTCAATGTTGAGGGCCTTTGGAGGTCATTTGGGTGAACTACGTTCGGTTTGATTCATTTGACAAGAGGATACGTAGGCAGTCTTTTCGATGCAACTGGTTGGATTAGTTGATATTGATGGGGGAGATTGTTTGAGTTCTCGTTTGGGTTCCCGACTTATTGTGGATTGAGTCCGTTGTCGTAGGTTGATTTCACTTCGTACTGGACGCAACAAGTGAGACATTTGGATGTTTTGGTGTCAGCTTAGTTTTGAGAGAAACTTTACCGAGGTGGAGATTTATAGAATTGAAGAAACGGTGAAAAAGTTTAGGAAATTACACAGGAAACTGTTTAGAAGCTTGTCGGTCGATCGCGAGATCAGTTGCGATTGACCGCAAACGTGCACACTAGAGGGTGTATTTTTAGATTTCTGTCCGGTCGACCACGGCGTCAAGTGAGGTCGATCGCGTACCCTGTAATCGATTTTACGAGTTTTTGTCATTCTCTCCGGTCGACCGCGGAGTCAAGTGTGGTCGATCGCGACTCGGGTTTGAGCTGTGTTTTGGGTTTTCAACCCGTTTCGTTTGCTGTTTGTATAAAACTCTAAACATGATTAATTAGGGTTAAGCAATGACGTTTTGAGCAGTCTTTGAGAGAGGATTGTTGTATCCAATTGGGGAAGATTTGTAAGAGATTTAGAGAGCTTTGTTTTAGGGTTTTGAGTGATTTTGTAATCCTATTTTGTATTCTATTCATCTCTAATAGTAAAAACTCTCTCCTCATTGCCTCATGGACGTGGGCAACTTGCCAAACCACGTAAAATTCGTTGTCTTGCTGTGTTTGTAATTTGTGCTTGTGTTTGGTTGTGATCTTTCTCGTTCTTGTTCGTGTGATTCGAGTTCCGCTGCGCACAACACTCTTCTCTTTATCCCTTGAGGGTCCTCAAGAGGGGGTGTTTTGAGCATTCAATTTGTTTGGGCTTTGGATAACACGCGTGCTCGCCACGCCGTTTTTCAATTTTATTTTACCCTTTTACTTTTTGACTCGGCAATTAGCAACGGCTAGATCGTGCGCGAATTTAGCGAACGTGGCTTGGATTCAGCAAGGAGTTTTAACAGCTTAGGGTTTCTAAAACCCTATAAATACTGCCTCTAACTCAGTTCGGAAAAGATAGTTACAGAAAAGAAAAGTTTCTCTCTTCTGTCTTCTTAAATAGTTACGGAAAAGAAAAGTTTCTCTCTTTCTGTCTTCTTAAAAATAAAAAATTGTTATTTATTTTCTTTTGGGCAATCGTCTTCATCTGAGAAGAAGCTTTATACTATCGCCCGAGTACAGAGGCCGGCTGCTTCCGGGGGTTTTTACCGCTAGGGATAGGGGATCGACTGCGTCAGGGTGATAGGCGGGTCCTTAATCTTCTAGGGCATTGTTTTGCACGACGGCTACCCGTATCAAGCCAGTTTTTCTGTTCAATTTATTTTTTGGATTTATATGCATGCTAATAAGATAAAATTGACAACATTTTTGGTGTAAAATAACCATATAATGCTACTGAGAAATAGTTAATTGTTCGGGCAGACAAGTTGTAACCAGTAAAAGTTGTATCGGTTTGATTGTTTTGTTTAATGGGTCATAATGATTTTTTTTCCTTCTTCTCATGAGAATTTAACAGATGACATGCTTCATATTTTGTTGAAATCTAACTTGTTCTCTTTCTTTTCTTTGATATAGTTGAATGGAAGATTTCGTGCACATATTACGGCACTTGGAAGATTCTGCTGTATCTATAAATCTCTAATGCGAGGTTTTCTCATTTCTTCTAATTTATTCTATGGACATATGCGGGTGGCTATATGGCCATCTTAGATGCTTTGAGAAAGGCAATCCTCTGTGCGCTGCAGAAACTTCTTTCTTTTATGGACTCTTTTATCACCAATAAGTACAGCATTTCGGCTAGTGTAAAGAATCAGACTGTAACCTGAGACTTGAGAAGCATTGGATTTTAACTCATTAAAAATTGATCTGTCTAGTAGTTTCTTATATCTTACCTCATTTCTTTAATTTTCTTTTGCAAAATTTTCATATATCAAGAAAAAAGGCTTAACTGAGGCGAGGAGTTGCAAGACGTCTTGTGTCCCTCGTTTCCATGCATAGGTTAGTCTCTGCAGGATTTATGATTTTCCTTCTGCAATGAAGATGCCTATATTGCATTGAGCCTCTTTTACTTTTACTAGCATAGTGCACGTGCAACACACGTGAAATTGTATTTGTTTCTTGTTGTAAATTTTTTAATTATATAAGGACTTATCTAACACAACGGATAATTAAAGTTGTTATCCTTATCATGTATAAATATATATATTACAATGTTCACTCATAAAAATAACTACTGATGAACCACAAATATTAAAAGGGTTAATCGAATTTAAACATTTTGATAGGTTTAATAGTAAATTTAACAAATAGTAAGAGTTAAAGTGTTTTAAAATTAGCATTACATGAGAGTTTTTGAGAAAAAATTATCATGTTTGCATGACTGAGGGTACTTGATGAGAGCCCCAAATTACTTCACACCACCAACGAATCAAATTATCATGTTTGCATGACTGAGGGTACTTGATGAGAGCCCCAAATTACTTCACACCACCAACGAATCAAGTAGTGTTAAGCCTCTACACAATCACACTTGATGAGAGCCCCAAATTACTTCACACCACCAACGAATCAAGTAGTGTTAAGCCTCTACACAATCACTGACAAATCAAGCAAAATACGTAGCCCAATGAGATACACCAATATCCTCTTTAGACTTCAGTTCCTTCAGCATGTAACTTCTTGTAACTATGCACCACTCGAGCACTATTACTCCTAAGCACCGATGGCTCTGGAATCAGTACTAAAAGTACAATTTATAGAAACTTTAGGGTATTTAAGTGAATCTAGATACAGCTGAGGGTCTATATGTGCAAAATATGTGAAACCAGAGGTGAATTTAGATTCTTGAGTTGAGTTGTAGTTGCATCCCCACAAATTTATAAATTGAATATAAGCCCTAATAACATTTATAAGCTTCCCCCTTCGCCCTCCATAAACTTTAAAAACTACACCATAACCTATATCAAAACTCATATAAAGAATTCCAAGCAATAGTTAATTTAGGGGATGGTGGAAAAGTTTAGAAAAATCTCAGTTACTCGATCATATAAAACCATCTCAGGAAACAAAAATGAGAACTAATTTAAAACTAATAAATAATTTACAATGAATTTCTATTAAAACAAAAGTAAAAACTCACTATAAAATGGACGTTGTCCTCACTTCGGATTCAGTTTCTCTCTAATTTGGTGGTAATTAGAGAGGGTCTAATTATTCGAGTCATTAACTTTCGTTCTAATTTCAAGGGCCGACCATAGGCCTCATTTGTAGAAATTAACAATTATGTATTTTAAGGCAAGATCTTAGACACAAGTTGTATAAATTAGAACTTTTGTTTTAACTATTCTTTTTTCTTGTGCACTATTGTCATATTGGTTTTCACAATAAGGGATTTCAATAGAAAATTGGCTTTCAAAACAATAGCAGAAATTCTACATGCCGTAATTTCATTCATTAAAATCCAAATATAGGATAAATATTGAGATTAAGATCTGTATCCCCCTAATTGGAGAGGAGTCGAACCTCTACTCTAATTACCATCTAATTGGAAAGAATTCGGATTCCCTCACTTAGAGAGCTTAGAATCCTTACTTTCTAGCTTCTACGCACTATATATTGACATAGGTGTGTACATAAAAATATACATACATTGATATGTGGAAAGAAATGAGAGCAAAAATACATAAAAAATAGAGAATAAAAAATTAAAGATTTTGACCTGCTCAGATACCTCCAAAGCTAGTGCATTGCTTCCGACCTCACTTTTTCGGCAATTGCACCCATTTATCGATAAAATTAAACTTATTTGCTGGATTCCAGTTATCATACTAAACCAAGAAATGATATTTTTTTTCTAATAAACCTTCACTCAAGAAAGATGGATAAATTTTACCTCTTGGGTGAATCAATAAAGCTTCATGGTACGTTGATCGGAAATCTTAAGTTGGTATAAGAATCCCTAACAACTTGCCGCCTTTTGACAAATAAGGTGTTATAAACTGAAATATCAATACATGCATTCTATTATGCATCTTTATTCTGTTTGCATGTTACTGGAAAAACATGTATGTATTTATTATTTTTATAAACTGAAAGAACTATAATGCACACCCATATCTATTGATTACGGAGTAAATGTCTACAAAAGAATCCGAACGCCTTGTTGCCTTGGTTTATTATAAATAATTGTTAACATATTGCTAAGTATTTATTGGTTTATTAACATTAAATGTTTAATATTCCTATTAATTTAATTATAAATATTTATTTTGTATTATCATTTCTTTATTACATGTTAATAGATATTATTATATTGAGTTATTATTATATAATAATAGAGAAGAAGTTTAATTAAATTAATTTTCTAATGATAGTGAAAGCAAATTGGAGGTGTATTTATTACATTTAATTTAATTGATGGTTATGATAGGAAATGATCCTAGAGACGTTAGGGATGTGAATGGTTAGAGTTTAATTTGTAGTTAGTAGAGCTATTAAATTGATGATGATATTTAATTGGCAGTTACGATAAGAATTTGAAGCTATTGCATAATAGGCTATGTTATTACATAGTATTAGTATTATTACTACTACATAGTATTATTATATTGAGTTATTATTATATAATAATAAAGAAGGATTTTAATTGAATTAATTTTTTAATGGTAGTGAATGCAAATTGGAGGTGTATTTATTACATTTAATTTAATTGGTGGTTATGAAAAAGATTTGAAGCGGTATGCATATATGGTTTATGTATGTATGTGTTTTATGTATTTATATATGTGTTTTTATGTATGCGCGTGTATGTGTTTTAGTATGACTTGGAGGGTATTTTCGGAAGAAATATTTTAACATGACAACGCATTTTTATAATAGTATTAGATTAGATTAGATTAGATTTGTTTTCCCCTGGACTCATATTTCTTTTGGTGTTCTTATGTTTTTCTTGTGAAAAGGTTGAGCATGATCAGCATAATCATCCGTCTATTTGGTCAGTTGTATATGCTTCTTTTCTTCGTATTCTGCTCTTACAAAAGTTTGGAGGAATTCATCGTGTTTCAAAGACAAAATTATGAAAGCTCCTCCTGTTACGTTCGACTCGTATTAATGTTGACGACTGAAAGCCTTAAATTTGTGACACTCTCACGACAAGTCAAATTTTGTTGCTAGCTAGTTATGAACTGCCATTTTTATTTTTGCATCTCAAATTAATGATATTCGCGTATGTAAATAATCCTTTTACAGACATCTGCTGTTGATTCTCAAACTAGTATTATCAACGCTTCTGAAAATGCCAAAAAGAAAAAAAGACTACCCCTCAAGTCGAGTACTATTCCTATCAGAACTGCCCGCCCGATCTGCAGAACATGGGAGTCAATTGGTAATTTGCTCCGTCAGACCCAAGCGGATGGTTTTGATGAGATATGTAGTCCATTTAGTCACCGTCAACATTTTCCTACAGCTTTCTTCTGCGGCATTAAAGATATTCTGCAGTCCTTGTTGGACAATCAGCAGCATTCATGTCTGTTGCCTACACATTCAAGGCTGGTTCATAAATGAGAACAATTGAATTGAATTGAATTGGAGAGAGAGAGAGAGAGAGAGAGAGTAGCAGTAGTACTGAGCCCAAAGGCAATCAGGGCTCTTCCTTGTGGGCTCACGATTGCCTTTGGGCTCACGCGGCATCAAACCACCCAACCACTCGTTTGCGTGGATCATAAATTTGCTCATTGGCAAAAATATTAAATGAATCTTGGTTCATAACGTTAAATATGCATCCAAATGATGTTTACGGTTGAATCATTAGATTTTAAGATTCATGCACAGATCTAATGCTTGACATCTTTTGGTTGCAAATTTAATATCGTTACAGATTGTCTCCATCGGGTACTTTCTCTCGCTTCAACGTGTCCAACTTCTCCCTTTTAAAGTTTTCTTCGATACAGTTAAAATTGTGCAGAAAGTGATTGGTTTCTTTCGTTGGAATTTTAAGCGTGCATGGCATCATCGAAATAAACCATGATTAGCTTTAAGTGTTATCATTAAGCATCATTTGATATGAATTAGAAGGTACTTTGCGTTGTTTAGGAGTAGTTTAATTGCATTCGCGCCCACGACTTTTGTAGTTGCCACCTAAAGACTTCGAGGGCCTTAAAATAATACTTCATCTTCGCAACCAAATATTTATACTTACACTTTTCCTCTTCTTTTAGACTTTATAGGAGTGGGAGATTTTGGCAAAGGGATGTAAGTTCGATATGAATAGGATTCATTCTTATTTGAGTAAAAGAGATATTATGTTATCCGCAAATATAAGTACTAATGAGAAATCTTTTCATTAAAAAAGATTATCAGTGGATTCTTTTCTCAAAAAAGATTATCCATAGATTTAAGTATAAATTAGAGCGGGATCATTGTGGACATCGTTTCTAAGCTTTTGCATTATTATTAGTAAACTGTACTAATATGAAATTTATTTATTATTATTAGTAAAAAACCATAAAAAAAATTCAACCTCCAATCAACAGGATAACGTGCAGCTCACATGGTGAGCACCCAATGCCCAGTGCCGAACGAGCACACGTGTCAAAGCACAAAGAAAACAATCAGACTGCAACTCCAATATTTTAACCACAAAAAACTCATAAAATACCAACAAATACTCCAAAATCATTAATAATATTATATATATTATATTAGATTATTACTATAAAAAGCAACTGCGGGCTACAC